AACTTCATAGAAGATCATTGATCAAATTTTTTTTTATTAACAGACAGATGAATTGTACTACTTACCTGTAAAAAAATAATATGATACAATGTACCTTTGATTTCAAATCAATAAAAATTTTTTTCAATGTTTTTATTAAATAATTAAGAAATATGACTTATTTTACGTTGGAAATCGTGAAGTTAATCAAATTTACAGTGAAAAAAATATATATATTAAATAGAGAGAAGTTTCTTTTTCTTTCGTTTCTACCATTAAATTCTTTTTATATATTACATGTATAATTGTCATTCAAAAGTCAATACTTGACCAAAAATGTAGTGTTTTTATTATAAATAAAATATCCTATACACATTTTTTATTGGATGGGAACGAAACTTCTACACAAAACGTACCTTTCAGTATAAAAAACGTATCTACTTTTTTTATAGGGATTGCTATTTTCGAATTAGTATCAATTATAAAAAAATAGTGCGATATATAAGAAATAATGCGATATAAAATTAAAAGTGTTTTAACTTTTATTAAGTTGCATATCCCAGAGTACTTAAATATTTTTTTTCAGTATTTTCGCTCAAATGATTTCTAAGCGATCAGCGATTTTCTTTTTTTTGGCTTGGTAAAAAAAAATACAAAAAGTTTTGTAATAGAGCACAAACCTGTATTATTACAGTACAAAGCACGCCATTCACGAAATATAAAGTTAGCTTCAGAAACTGGTAATGTCAGGTTTGCTTCTTTGAACTGTAATAAAATAATAAATATTATTTATTTTTATATTTATTTTTATACCTTCACTAAAAATATGAATTTATATACTCACCACGAGTAAGTTAGAGGCTGCACGATTTCAAAGATCATTCTGTAATAATAATTACATAAAATTATTAATTCTTAAGTAAATAGTTGTTTGCGCTTTTCATAACTAAGTTCACAAATATCAATAGTGTGATTAGTACTTTGTGACATCTTTTCTTTTCTTTGATAATAAATATTTTAAAAATTTCTTTTAAAAGTTGAGTGTTTAATTAGATAAAGTTTGAGTTGTGTTGTATTTATAATAAATAAACAAAGTTTATATATTTATAAACTTTTGAAAAGTACATGATAATTGAAAGTATAAATAGTTTAATATTTATAATATAAAAGTATATGAAAGTTTAATAATTGATATGCGAAACTTAATATTTATAATAAAAAGTCAATATTTAATACTACTATTGTATTGTATAGGCATTAATTTTTTTAATAATATATTTTTTTAAATAAAACTTTAGTTATGAATTATAGTTCGTTACGGCGTTGCATTACATAAAAAAAACTGGGATCCCAGACCCCCAGCAGGCGTCACTGACTGTTATCCCTAGTGAATTTTTTATTTGCTTTTTTATTTTATTATATTATTTTTTTGATCTATTCATATTTTTTCCGTTTTTCTTCCGTTTTTTATCATGGTTAATTATCAGCAAATTATCAGTTAATTTTAGAAATTCTGATAGTCCATTTTAATTCCGTATTTATATTGCTGAAATTACTGAAAGAATCCGGATTGCTATTCAACCGGTTACTATTCCGAAAAAATTCACTGAACCCAAACAAAATCACAGAGTTATAACGGAAATATTCTTGGAGTGTCATTTACCAGACACAGAAAGGTTGATCAAAACTTTTCAAGCACATAATGGTAAAACCATAATATTCTTTGATAATTTAAATGGCTTAATAGAAAAGAGGAGCGAAAGGAAATTCAAAGATACTAATAATTTTAATAGAGGATAATACAAATGTCAACAACAGGATAATGTAATTACTGTTTCAACGTACAACTTAATATTTTTACTCCGCACAGGATTATTATGTTTGATAAAAAATATGAATATAATGAATTTAATTATATCTGTACCATGATCCATTAGACCCTGTAAGTCCTGCAAACTTTCAAAAATTACCGAATCCTCCTGGGTATTAGCACTAATTTATGAAAAATCTTTGAATACAAGGATTGTTACAAAATTAAATTTAAGCACTTATATTAATTTATCATGTGATATATTGTGAAGCATTTTTATTGGTTATGGATTTTCCACTCAGGTGACCCGTCCGAGATATGATCATATGAGAACTAATTTTTTTTTTGTGTCGCCTTATTATTCCTATTTTCTAATTTTAGGAACTATTTAGAAGTTAGAACTTCCTTCATGACTAAGACAACTTGTTTTTATAAAAAATAAATCTGAGATTCGAAGTTCAATTATGAAAAAATGGAATTAACCAAATAAGAAAAAATCAGTGATTTCCCGCGATATCTTTGCCGTAATTTTAAAGAAATAGTTTATTTTAATAAATTTTATTTAAAATTTTTTTTACAAAGAAACACCTTTAATAATTGTTAATATAAAATGTATTTTTCTGATATTGTAATATTTATACTTTAATATATATAACAATAATAATAAATTAATACAAATATAAAATCATGTTATGGTCATATGTAACAATTGTAACATTATGACTTATAACACATACTACTACAGTACTAATATTTATACTACAATGCAGCTACAATCATTGTACATTAAAAGCAAATTTCCGTAATATATTCAGTTAAATCTACATAAGGTAAATATTTAAAATCTTTGATTACTCCATCTCTTTTATATTTATTGGTAAGTTCCTTATAAATATAATTCTCTCCTAAATTTTCAGTAGTAAATAGTGTAATTGCATGTCTACCATTCCATTTTTCCAAGAATTCCTTCAAGATTTCTGAAGAAAATTTAAATTTATAACAGAACCTAATTTCTTTAAAATTATTTGGTGATGATCTAATTAACATTTTTAATAATTCTTTCCCATTTTTCAAATAATCTTCATAAGTATCTTCTTCATTATCAAAAATTATAATTAATAATAATGATTTCAAATTTTTACAAATTTTTAATAATTTTTCAAGTTCAACGAAATGCTCCTCTGATGGTGAGAATGCAATTGACAAGTATTCAATTAAAGGACAATTTTCATAAATTTTACGAATAAAATTGATGAGAGAACCCTCATTAAAGTTAAAAGGTTCATATTTAATATTATTAGGATCGAACAAAACTTTCTTGAGACGCCTTCCACTATTTTCAATTATACTGGAAATTACATTTATCTTATTCCGCTCTATATTAAGAACTTCAAGTTCATGTAATTTCAATTTTTCTAATTGTTTTTCATCAAAAGAAATATAATCATCAATTATTAATACTTTTAATTTATCAAACTTTGGAAGCATATCTTGAAATAATGTATGCTCATAATTACACAGATAAAAAAAAACTATTTTTAAATAATTGAGGCTTTCTGCTTTTTTTTCTAGTGCAAGAAGAAGTTCTTCGTATGGATCATAATCATAATCCGTATAATCATCATCAAAATTATCAACCCATTCAAAATGCTTTAATTTCTTCTGAACTTCAATCAACTTAATAATACCATGATTAGGTTTTGGGTTCATACTAACAATTAAAAGCCTTTGTATATATTTACAGAATTGTGATAATCCATAAAAATATGAAGAATCAATTATTGTATCACATCGTAATTCACAAAGTGACTCAAGACGAACCATGGCTTCTGGAATATAAAATATTTGGTGTTTAATTGACATCATATCAAAATATTTCAATTCTGGACATTTTTTCATAAAGAGATAATAAAATTTTTGTTGCATAAAAAATTGATTATAAGCCAAAGGTGATCCAATAGAAATTATATCATTTATAATATCTACATTGATACTTCTACAGAAGGATAAATAATCAAATAAGAGTGATTGGTTTGAACATGAAGGTAATTGAATTCTTTGATTTGTAATGAATTCTTTTATATCATCGATTAAATAGTGAGAAATAATGATAAATAAAGAGCTTTTAATTCTATAATTAATACTATTGTAACACCAAGGATTCCTCCATAAAATCGGTATCACAGTTTCACACCAAAGTCTATTGACCAGTAGACATGAAAAGAGGGACTTTGAATTTTTTTGTAATTCTTCAAATATTAAGAAAAGGATATCTTTATTGAGTTTGGACATTCTTTATTCAAAAAAAATAATAATAATAAAATGACTTAAAATAATTTTTTATAAATGAAACTTAAAAATATTTTTAAAATTTTTTCCAACAAAAAAAAAGAAATAAAAGAAATAAAACTACTTAAAAGGATACCGAAATCCGAAATCCGATCAATTTGCCAATTTAGATATTCATACAGCCACAAACTTGACCAAATGACACAAGTAATGTTACACAATAACGTGAATAAATAAACAAAAATTGCGCCATTGCCTATAACAGAAAGTATTTTTCTTTTTTTAAAAAAAAAAAAGTTGTTGTTTAACAAAAATAGTCAAAAGTCGGAATTAATACCAAATCCTCCATTTGGTAAGTTTTATATCCGTATCGTGATAAACACAGAAATTTACTACGCCAGTAAGACACGTGCTGCCGGCGAACAGCGAATAAATATGATTCTTTGAAAAAGAAAATTAGCAATGTGATAATATTTTTCACAACTCAGTACAATATTACTGCTTTGCAGTATATATTTATTTGACTAATTAATTGATGAAATTTATTGTGAAGGTAGGTTAAATTTTTTAATGTTCTTTGGATTCTTGTTTTAACTATAACCGGGGGTGATGATCACCGGTGACTGAAATTATTATAATCGACCAGCATTAAAAAATATAGTGCCGGTAAAAATTGATAATTCTGGCCAACGGTGATGATCACCCCCGGTGATTTGAAGTAAAAACCTCTTATTAATAATTTAATATCGAAAATTTTTTTATTCAATTACTAATATATTAGGCGTAAATATAATAATATATTTATTTTATTATTATATAATTATATACCATAATTAAAGAAATTTTATGATTGATTACAATAATTTTCTATTACTAGTGAATCAAGTTGTTTATAAATAATACTTACTATTTTTTTTTTTTTTTATATCATTGTTTTGTTTAACAATATCTCTCGTATCTCTTTTAATAATTTCTGATCATTCTCATGTTTTTCTTGTAATTCTTTTAGTAATTTTTGATCAGTTTCATTTTTTTCTTGCATCTCTTTCAATAATTTCTGATCGGCCTCTTGTTTTTCTTGTATTTCTTTTAATAATTTTTGATCGGTTTTATAATTTTGAATATTAAGTTTTTTTAATAGATCTTCTCTCATTTCTGAAAATACATCAGCATCCCATTGACCATCACTAATTAATTTTTTGATTTCTTCACGTGTCTTATCAACATTTGCATAATAATATCTATAAAATTTTATAAGCATTAGTACTTTATATATGGATATTTTCTTTCAAAAAAAAAAAAGAAAAAAAAGTAAAAAGTTAAAAATTAACATACATTACTTCTGGAATTCTTTCCAACGTCTCTGATGTGGTAATAAATAAAATAATTAAATTTCAGCTAAAATCTATAAAAAAAAAATAATAATTTATTAATAATAATTAAAAGAAAATATACTAATATAATGATTATATATTATACCTCTGCTTTTTGTATTAAATATGAGACTCTATCATTATCCTTATCAATCGCAATATTAAGTAATCCAATAAATAAATTCATAAGATATACAACAATTAAAAGTGAGAATAAAACACTCAATATTACAATTGATGGATTATTCATATATGACCAATTGGATAATGAACTTGAATCACCTAAATAATTAATTAAATATTTATAGTGATAAATAAATTTAAATAAATTATTATAAAAAATAAAATATAAATAAAAAAAATATACCTGTTAAAAATTTATACATTGCAAAAAGTGCAGATTGATAACTTATAAACATGTTTGTATTTTCATTTGGTAATTGAATAATATATGGATTAGAATCTATAGTTCCATCATCAAGTACTTTACCATAAGTAGGAACTATGTTCCATGGATTATTAGGATCATTATTGATCACACGATTATCAAATGAAAAATTAGTATCTATTGGTGATAACATAATATAAAATGCATGTGCAAAACTAATTATAATAATAAACAATACTACTATAAATGAAATAATTTGTTTTGCAACACTAATTATAATTGCAAAATATACACCAAAAGATTCAAACACTCTAAAAAATAAAAGAAATTTTATATCCAAAAATAGACATGAAAAAGAAAGTAATTTAACATGTTTGTCATCCGTTTGAAGCCAGTGAGCAGCACTAAAAATTGGAAGCACACATGCAAGTATATCTATAATATAATTAATCATATGTTAAACTGTTGTAAAGTATAAATCAAATAACTAAAAGAAACATTAATACATACTAAATATATTCCAAAAATTACGGATCCACTTAATAGGATTATAAATAATTTGTCGAATTTCAAAACTGAGATGAATTAATCCAAGTATAATAGAAGCAATCAAAAGTTGGACCTGAACATCTTTGTCAATATATTGTTGAGGAATTGTTACAGCAGTAGTAAAACATCCAAGTAAAGCCATAAATGTGGCCCAAATTATCAAGTAATAATATTTTCCAAAGGTATTCCATTTAAAATTAATTATTGCTTCTCCATTCCATGTTTTATATATATCACCACTAATTGTTTTAACAAATGGACTAGATTGAGGCATAATTATTTCTAAAAGCCAATCATAATCTTTTGGATAATTAACAAATTTAATATAAGGAATCATAAAAGTAATTGTTGGTGTTGGTGTAATTTTAACTCCTGAACTTGCTATATTAAATAATTTAAAATCATTAATACAATATATATATTCAACTTACTACTTATTAATCGAGTCTAAAATTTGTTCTCGATCATTATGTGTTCCCAAACAATTAAAACATCATCAATGGAAGCTTTTATTACATAAATTAAATATATAAATCATTCAACGTAAAAAAACACTTTGTGGATCACATATTGGATCACATACTACAATATATTATCCACAATACCGTTTTACAATAAATATTGCGGAAAAGTTATTCTCTTTTTAGTTAACTCCTAAGTTATGAATAACAATAATCCTTCTTTCCGCTTCCTCCAAAAAAGTAGACTACCTCTATTATTCAAATTCTTTTTACAACTTAACTTCGTTTTTTTAACATTTATCTGGTAAAGTTAAATCAGATCCAGTTTCGTCCACATACCAATTTTTTTCTATGTATAAAGACACTAGTTACAAGCTTTACGCATAATCATGAGATCGTGACCAGGGGTCACAGTTGCCTTATTTCGAACTCGTATAACATGTAGTACATATAACGGTCAGAATTACGCAAGGTTTAGCCAACATTGCACTCTAAATCAAGTCATCACTTTATAATCACTGATGAAATCAGTAATCAGATTTTTTCATGCAAACCATATTAGCTTAGAAACTACTGATAAATTGATACTTTCAGAGTATATTTACCTTCAAATACGCTATCAAACTTCTTTCTTCAAACTTTTTTTCTTATTTTAAACTTACTCCTTTTATCTATATCTCCTAATGGATCGGTCGTTTAATTGCTTACTTGTAAACAATAGAAATGTAAAAACAATTTCTATTTTCAAAGACTCTGATGAAAGAAAGTACATATTGTATGATGAACAAAATGATCTAAAAATCTACTTAAACCAACTCAACGTTGCACTTTTAAGAAACCATATCAGGGGAATGTACAAAATTCAAGAATACATGAAACTTTGGAAAGTTAATGTCCATAATGTTGATATCGAAAAAATTTCTACTGAAGATGACATTGTCGAACTTGGCGGAATAGAAATGGATCCTCTTAAACTGGTTGAAAAATATTTTGAAAATGAACTTAATGATCAAAATTTTATAAAGGAAAACATAAGAAATATCCAAATCATCGCCATCTATGATATCGCTGGTAACGGTAAGTGCCTCTCAATGTTTTACCTCTCGAACAAGAAATTAACTGTTGAAAAAAATACATTTATTCAATTTTTTCATTGTTATAAAATAATGTGCTTCCTGCCAATTCTGCGCTGTATTATATTCTTTTTCATATCTTCGTAGTCCCCATCTTTCCGTTACTTCTTATTTAAATTGTCTATTGACTTTTTTTGGCACTTTCTCCTTTTTTAGACTTTCCAAACCCAAACAAAAAGGTGAATTTCGAAGAAGGTAATCAATTGTTTTGGCCCATATACGAATTTTATTACGAAATGTCTTAATACTCTTTAATCACATTCTATCTAACTAAAAAAGATAAGAGAATGTTGGTTCGTTATGATCATTATGGTACAGTCTTATTTGAGCGAGAAGAACTGGAAGAAAATGGAATTCATTATCTAGATGATCTAAAAGAATTAATCAAAGATAGGTTTAATACCCTCAGAAAATATTCCCATGGGATGTTCTCCCTTCGCAAAAGAAATGAAATGAAAACCTTGGATCCCACTATTTCTATTGATAATCTATATAATATGGAATTAGATGTTATTATAATTATTGGTATGTGTACCATGGCTGGATTCGAATATTTCAAAATCTAAATACAATTCTGACATTTTATTTACTTGCGCACTTTCTTCTTTTTTAGACTTTCCAAACAAAAAGGTGAAGCTCGAAGAAGGTAATCAATTGTTTTAAACAAACTGTTAGGTGTTCTGCGTTTATAAATCATTATTTTTTTTCTCATTACACTGTATATATTATTATTTTTTTACAGATGATTATGAATGGGAAAGAATTAAAAAAGCATTCCAAACTGAATACCAGGGCACTGTTCTGGAAGGCTTTTACGCTCGGCTAAATCAATTTCATGAAACTTGGTTGTCAGATGGAAGGTACGCCCCTTATTTAGCAATCACACAAAGCTCCGGTTCCGGTAAAACGCGGCTTGTGGCGGAATTGAGAACCAAGGGGATCTATGTCTTGTACATCTGCAAACGTAGTGAGTATAGTTCTGGATACCCCAAATCAACACCTTATGCTCAACAAGTTCTGGATACAATTCGGGATAATAAATTTAGGGCTCTTTTGTGTGGCGCAATCGAAAAAATTAAAGACAAAGGATGGAATACAGAGCAGTTTTGGAATATTCAAATTAGCGGTGATCGCGAATGTGAAGAATTCTGGAATACTGTTTTGAGATCGTTAGTGAAAAGTGAATCTTCTCTACCAAAATACAATAACCAAGAATTTGTTAAGAAATTATTTCCCGGAATAGATATCCCTGTAGTTTGTTGTATTGACGAGGCACATGAATTGATTACGCGGAGAAAGGATGGTGATACCTACTTTGTTCTATGGAGACAACAAATTCGGCATATTCCATGGATAGGATTCTTTAATATTCTTCTCAGCACAAATAGGAAGATTGACAATTTCCTTCCTCCAACGATAATAGATACCGTCTCTGCCAGAACAACTAATTTCAAAATATTTCCTGCGTATTTAGATGTCAGTACCACGGACGTGTTAGCATTACTTGCTGAAAACGTTGGTAAAGAAAACTTTGATAAAAATTACGATCTTGAAAGGGTTGCATATCTAGGAACTCCCCTTTGGGGCTCTCTTGCTAAAGCCGGAGTTGGAGTCGATGAACTTATTCAACTAGCTTTGTGCAAGATCCGCAACTTTAGCAATAAGAAGGATGATTATATTGCTAACTTTGCATGTATATCTTGCACCCTGGCTCTTGAAGTTCCTCCTCGAATTGCAGAAGTAGACGATCTGATAGCATCCCATATGGCTACTGCTATAGGGATTTCACCTGATCGTACAAGTATTCTTTGCACATATCCTTCTGATGCTATCCTTGCATCTGGAGCTCTAAAAGGAATCATTAATGTTGGTTGGAAAAACTGCTTGGACACATTGGTGGAACTGCTCAATCGTGGGGTAGTAGAAGTGGGAGAAAGAAGAGAACTTGTCAATCGCATCCTATTTTCGATGAGATATGGAGATGTAAATGTTTGGACCAGAAGTTACATATTTGGAGAAAGTTCCCTTAAGATCATTTTTAGAAAAAATGAATGGCCATGATGTGCTTCTTGACGAATTGGAAATAAATGATGCAGAAGTTGGATTTAATCATTGGATATCTTTGCTGGCTACCAATATGGATTGTGTGAAATCTGGAGGGAATAAATTCCTAATGGAGGATCTTGTCATAGAAGCTTATCACCGCCATGCTGCCATCAAGATGCCATTTGGGTTCGAAAATATCGATCATGTCATTCCCTTTAAATACTCTTCTGGTTATGGCGTCATATCAATTCAAAACAAGAATGCAAAACAATCAACCTATAAATCGGCAGACAATTTCCTATTAATAAATCCAGTAAGTGTTTTTGGTAAATCGCACGAAGATTATAAGATTCTAGGTATCTATACCGATTTTCAAAAGGGAGAAACCCCAGAAAAAGCAACATCAGAACTGATAAGCGTAGATTTTATATATACACGATCAAAATTTCCTGGAGAAGAAGCAAAAATTATGTATATTCGAGGCGTTGAAGCGTTTGAATTTGATGATGAAATTAATGAACGACTATCTAAAGTACTTTATGCACGCCCTTGGCCATTAGATAGATATTGGAGCACCTTTGGTGAGAATGAATTGGATGGGGAAAATGCAATAAGATCTTTTTTACCTATTATATTTGAACAGGAAGAGGGTCAGTCTTTGATTGATAAATGGGAGATGTGCCATGATTAGTGATTTATTACTGATTAATGGGAAAATAAGGAAGAGGAGAAAAGATGGAAGAGAAATGATGGTAAAAATACTCAATGTGTATATTTTTTAAAAAATTGCATTGCGTATAATGTAAACTTTATGGCTTACACATTAGCTTTTTATTACTATAGTATGAAAATGTAATTATATATACAGTAGTAGTGCAAATGCAAAATGTAAATAAAAAATTTAAAATTCAAACAAAATAATGAAATAATATATATACATATGGGATGTAATAATTACTATGAATATAAAAAGCAGTAAGTTTTTTTAATTCATTTGTCTCATTTGTAATAAGTTAATCTGCAGCAAAATATTTTCGAGACTCGGTTGATTTATTTCATTAAATATTAAAAATATAATATCTACACACACAAGATATAGATATTGAAAATTAACAAATTTAAATTTTTAAATTTATCATAGTCTTAGAATAGATCGGTTAGTTATAGAGGGTAATATATTTTTATATTATTTTCTAGGTGTTCGTATAATTTATATGTAGATTTTTCATACCATAATTAATAAACGCGTTACTAATTAAAAAATATATATATATATATAATATTTACCAAGATGTGAAGGTTAACGCATCTATTAAGGATATGTTACATAACATCGAGAACAATAGATAAGTCTCGCTTTAAACAGTACGTACAACAAATCACTGCATTATATTTGTTATTGATTATTACTCCCGTTAGTAATGTCATAAGCATATTAATTATCAATAAATTTTTATTACTACGATAAAATGATCTTAACTCTTATGTGTTACTTCGTCAATGACGTGGAATCCACCTGTAGTATAGTAATTTTTTATATTTTACATTTGTAATGGTATGTTTGAAGTGTCCGAAACGGAATATATAACGTTTTCCCAAATTCTACTCATGGTAACAATTTCCTCTTGAAATTATTGTCGCAGTGTATACGCATTTCACAATATATCACAAAAGTCTCAAAATTTTGTGATAAACACAAATTTTAACACATAATTTCGCAAAATGCTAATCTTTATATATGTGCATAATTTCACTCATAATTTTCACATAAATTTCGCATAATTTCCATAATTGCGGATTACGTCACTTACCATCAAATTTAAGGACGTAGCTCATGTCCTAAACTAATCATCGGCCTAAATTATCGGCCCATTTTTAATAATGCCTTAAGACGTACCAGTGATAATTTCATTATATAGTAATTTTGAAGCACAAAAAAAACACACTTATCACAATCATCGTCTGGTCTAAAGCGGCAGAGTCACGTGATCTTAATAAAATGTTCGTCACCCCGCATCACACCTCTACTATAAATTATTCAGAGGATTTAGAATTTTCACGCAATTATTTGTCACATTCGTAATTTCTTAATGCCATAATTCCGGCCAAATCTGCCCCCATTATATGAAGATAGAATAACATTATAGCCTTTGTGTAACACGATATACGTTTCAGTGCAAGATTAGTATATGTTAAAACCTCACTTAAAATATACTTGTCTTTTAAAGTACTTACTAGATGTACACTTTTAAAGAGTCACATCATAATACTACACAACCCTACAATAAATTACCGGATTTCATGAAATTTACTGTAAAATTGATGATTTTCAGGCTGCATAAAGGTTTATGAATTTTTAATAAAATTCAGCCAGAATTTTTTTTTTTTAAAAAGCAAATCAATTAAAATTTTTTAGTATTAAAACAAAAAAGAAAAAAATTTTTAAAATATAAAAAAATTTTCTCATTGAGATGATTACAATAAATAAATCGCTTAAACAGTTGGCTAATGACAGGAATTAATTAAGGAATAATATGAAAAATTTGATCATCTAAACATAAAAAATTTGCGTATATATGATTTTAAGCAAGTATATTTGTAATATAAAGAAATTTTTCTTCAAAGCTTACTACGACATTATTAGAACTAAAGTTTATTAAATGTATTCTTTTTATTACTTTACAATAAATACAAAAATTCTGTCCTTTAAATTCTATGTTCACATTATTGAGAATTTTACATATTTTACGTTGAATTTTTTTTTTTTTGATGAATCCCACATATTATTAAGTACATTTGTACTTAAAGTGATTTGATAAAATTCTTCCAACTCCAATCCACATAAAGAACAAATATAATGAAAAATATCATATACTGTAGGTTATTGATATTTCGTTTAAAGCCAATATTGACGAATATATAGATCATGTGGACAATGATACCATAAAATTCAAGATATTCAAAATATTTTAGTCATTGATGTACAGATTTGTGATTACTAGTCCGAAGTGATCACTAGCCCGAAGTGTAACGAAGATCGTACGCTTGAGGACGTCATTTCTGGATGTTCGTGTAATTCTATGTTTCTTAGATGTCAGATTCCATAATTTATCCACCACTTTGGTTTCCTAGTAAGTTGTAATATAAAAAATAAATATTATTGACATGTTTTCATGATAACGTAAGCAGATTATGCAAGACCCTTTTCTATTATAAAAATAAAATGACCAGGAGACACTTACGTTAATTGTTGTAATATTAATAATTTATTTATTTAACAAAATGTTAAAATTTATCAATTTTAATATAACTACAACATCGGAATTTCACTTTCACGTGACAATATCGGAAAAATCGGCACTTTCCATTTTCCTTTTTTAGTGTTTTTAACCTATTTATTTATCACTGCAAATGCTCCATTTTTGTTTATAATACCACGATTTTATTATTTATATAAATTTTCAATATGTACAAAGCTGATAAAGGATTTGAACATACTTTTTTTAATCTAAATTCTAATTATATTCATTTTAGTCTTTCAATTTAGTAGTGTCCAACAAATGTGAATTAGATAAATCAGCAAAATAGACTATAAAATTTAACGATAATTTGGTGGCCAAACAAAATCTGTGAAAATATAAAGCTAAACTTAATTTTATTTTTTGTGCTACATAATCAACATTGATTCAACCATTTTGAATTGTATAAAAAAATTTCCAAGAAGCTTACGTAATACTTACGTAAGTCATTTAACAAATTATGTACTACATAAAAATTTTTTTTTTAGAAATTTTTAGAATTTTCTGAAAAAATCTTTGGGATTTTTATACAATGTTTTCTCCAAACATACTTGTAACAAAAGATAATATTCAGAAATGTTTAGAAACTGACTTTATAAATTGGACCAGTGGAAATGAAAAAATTGATAATTTCATTCAGGAAATGCAACTAAAAATAAATCGCTATGATGACATTATAATCGAATGGATACCATACAATCAGTTTAATAAAATTAAAGAAACATGCAAAAATAGTTCTATAACAGTATATTCAGCAATATGGATGGATGGTCCATTATATTATAATTATAACTATACTAATAGTTATACAAGAAATCCAAATAAAGAAGTTGCTTTAAAATATTTATGTAACTTACAATATTCTATTGATTTTCTAATAAATGAGGTATAATATTCCTTTAATAATTTAAGTATTTTGATTCAATTATTTACTATTCATTTATTTATATTTCAGGCTAAAAAATATTCAACAAAAAATGAGGCATTTCATATATTGTACGGAATATCCCAGGATCCAGTTACAAATAACTATATTTTAATTCAAAATAATTCCATTAACATAACAAAATGGATTAGTAGAAATGAAAAAATTGATAATTTCATTCAAGAAATGCAATTATCAGGTATTAAATTTGAATGGATACCATACAATCAGTTTAATGAAATTAAAGAGACAGGTAAAATTAGTTCTATAATGGTATATTCAGCAATATGGAAGGATGGTCCATTGCAATATATGTATGATAATTATGCAAGAGATCCAAATAAAGAAGTTGCTTTAAAATCCTTTTGTAACTTGCAATATTCCGTTGACTTTCTAATAAAAGAGGTATATTACTTCTTTAATGAATAAATATTTTTTTCTAATTTAGAATATTCATTATTTCTTTTGTTATTTTCAGGCTAAAAAATATTTAACAGTCAGTTATAGATTTCACATATTATATGGAATATCTCAGAATCCAGTTACAAAAGACTATATTTTAGTTCAAAATAATTTCATAAATATAACAAATTGGATCAGTAGAAATGAAAAAATTGATACTTTCATTCAAGAAATGCAATTTAAAAATAAGCGTCACTCAGATGCAATATTTGAATGGATATCATACAATCAGTTTAATGAAATTCAAGAGATTAGCAAATATGGTTCTATAACAGTATATTCAGCAATATGGAAGGATGGCCCATTACTTTATAATTATAAGCATTATAATTATGCAAGAGATCCAAATAAGGAAGTTGCTTTAAAATATTTACATAACTCAAAAAATAATATTGATTTTGTAATAAATAAGGTATAAAATTTTATAATTTTTTCAATACTTTCTTATTATATTAATTTTCATTTATTTTAGGTTAAAAAATATCTAGAAAATATTTGTAATAAAGGAATTTTTACTATATATGGAATATCCCAAAATCCAGATACAAATGATTATATCTTGGTTTTAAGCAATTTTTTCTGGGAAAATGAAAATGAAAAAATTGATAATTTCATTCAAGAAATGCAATCATTTTATAAAAGAGATGTAATATTTGAATGGATACCATACAGTCAGATTTATGAAATTAAAGAGATAGGCAAAAATGGTTCTATAACAGTATATTCAGCAATATGGAAGGATGGTCCACTACTTTATAGTAATTATGCAAGAGATCCAAATAAGGAAGTTGTTTTAGAATATTTACATAATTCACATAATAATATTGAATTTGTAATAAGTGAGGTATATAATTTATATAATATCTTTAATAATTTTTTGTTATAATATTAATTTCTTATTTATTTTAGGTTGAAAAATATTTAATAAATACTTATGATGATTATAAAGATATTTACATTATATATGGAATATCCCAAAATCCAGATACAAATGATTATATTTTTGTTTTAAGCAATTTTATCTGGAAAAATGGAAATAAAAAAATTGACGATTTCATTAAAAAAATGCAATTAAAAATGAAATTATATAAAACTTATTTATTTGAATGGATACCATACAATCAGCTCAATGAAATTGAAGAAACGGGTAAAAATGAATCTATAACAGTATATTCAGCAATATGGAAGGATGGTCCATTATATTATAATAAAGATTGTAGAAATTATACAAGAGATTCAAATTTAGAAGTTGCTTTAAGATGTTTGCATAACTCACAAAATACTATTAGAATTGTAAGAAATGAGGTATAATATTTATATAAATATTCCTTTTACTTTTTTAATGCATTATATTAATCTCTTATCTATTGTAGGTTAAAAAATATTTAAGAGATGAATTTAGTAAAAAAATTTTTGATATATATGGAATATCTCAAAATCCAAATACAAATGATTATGTTTTAGTTTTAAATAATTTCATATTAGTAAGTGGAAATGAAAAAATTGATAATTTCATTCAAGAAATGCATTTTTCAGATCAAACGAATTTAATATTTGAATGGATACCTTACAATCGACTTAATGAAATTAAAGAAATAAGTAAAAATGGTTGTATAACAGTATATTCAGCAACTTGGAAGGATGGTCCATTGTATTATGATTATTTGAAAGAAGAATATACAAGAGATTCAAATGAAAAAGTTGCTTTAAAATATTTGTTTATTTCAGAAGACCCTATTGATTTCCTAATAAATGAGGTATAAATTTCCACAATTATTTGTATTAATTTTTAATAAATATATTAATTTCTTTTATTTATTATATATTACTAGGCTAAAAAATATTTAGTAACTTGTGATATATATGGAATATCTCAAGATTTAAATACAAATAATTATATTTTAGTTCTTACATGGGCAAGTGGAAATGAAAAAATTGATGATTTCATTCGAGAAATGAATACATATGAAGATACAGTAATTGAATGGATACCATATGATCAACTTAATGAAATTAAAGAAATTGGCAAAAATAGTTCTATTTCAATATATTCTGCAATATGGAAGGATGGTCCATTGTATTATGATGACCAAAATAGTAATGATTATACAAGGGATCCAAGCAAAGAAGTTTCTTTAAAATATTTACAAAACACACAGAATTCCGTTGAATCCCTAATAAAAGAGGTATACCGTTTTTCTTAAATATTTTAAATACTTTTTTAATTTAATAAATTAACTATGATTATCTTTTTTATTTATATTTCAGGCTAAAAAATATTTAACAAAAAATGGAGCATTTATGTTATTGTATGGAATATCTCAAAATCCAAATACAAATGATTATATTTTAATCAAGAATAATTACTTAAATATAGCAAATTGGATTAGTAGGAATGAAAAAATTGATGATTTCATTCAAGAAATGCAATTAAAGATAGGTAGCTATGAAGATATAGTATTTGAATGGATACCATACAATCAGTTTAATAATATCAACGAAATAGGTAAAGGTGGTTTTGCTATAGTATATTCTGCAAATTGGAAAGATGGTCCATTAGAATATGTTGCTGATGAAAAAACATATAAAAGGAATGATCCAAATAAAGTAATTGCCTTAAAATGTTTACATAATTCACAAAATATTAACAACAAATTTTTAAATGAGGTATGAAATTTTTTGAAAAATTATTTGCAATGAATTTTTTTTTGAATTTAATTTAGTAAGTAATATATTATCTTTTATTTTAATCAATTTATTTTAATAGGCTAAAGAATATTCAATAACTAAGGGAAGTAATATCACTAATATATATGGAATATCTCAAAATCCAGATACAAAAGATTATATTTTGATTCTTGATTATGCAAAGGATGGAAATTTTAATAATTGGATGAATGAAAATTATGAATATTTCATCTGGCAAAATAAAGTGTCTGTATTACGTAAGATTATTAATGGTCTTACAGAAATCCATCAAAAACAAATAGTTCATCGTGATTTTCATTCTGGAAATATATTATTTTTAAGTAGTATAGATGATTTTAGCAATTGTATATTAATTTCGGATATGGGATTATGTGGAGAAGTTGGTAATGTAGATGAAAAAAATATTTATGGAGTTATGCCTTATGTAGCTCCTGAAGTACTAAGAGGAAAAGCCTTTACTCAAGCAGCAGATATCTATAGTTTTGGTATGATAATGTATTTTATTGCAACTGGAAGACAACCTTTTTACAATCGTGCACATGATAAATTTCTTGCATTAGATATTTGTAATGGAAATAGACCTGAATTAAATGAGCCAGAAGCACCAAAATGTTATATTGATTTAATGAAAAGGTGTTGGGATTCAAATCCTAACAATAGACCAAGTATTATTGAAATGAATGAATTAATTTTATCATTTTATAAATCTTATGGAGGGGATATTTTTATAGTAGAAAATGAAGAAATTGAAATACAATTTAAGGAAGCAGAGGAATACAGAAAAGCAAATGCAAATCCTTCATCCATTAAAGATTATCAAGCAGCTACTCATCCACAGGCTATTTATATATCTCGATTACTTAACCCTTTTACAAAGGACCTTCCAAAATATAATGATGATGATGATGATTATAACTCTGAATGTTTAGATTGCAAAATTTAATTTAGTTTATATGAGGTACATTACAATTAATTGAGAATGTTATACATTACATTTATAAAAGTGATTTATAATATAATGTTTTATGTTATCATTTACTCAAACTGTTTATATAGATTATTTAGTGCTGTAAATTGTTAATGTAAATTTTATTTTTATAAATAAAATTGAGAAAATTAAATAAATAATTTTGACAATCAAGATAATAACCTATTTAATTCATATACCAAAAATGCTTTGAAGCTATTAAAGCTATAAAAAAAGGGGGAAGTAAATATGCTATATGATCGATAACAAACAATTTTTTTCTTTTTGAGAGATGCATAATTTATTATTTATATACATGTTGCATTAGACTACTATTTTTTTTTAAATCATCCCAATAATGATACTGTCAGTTTGATGGGACTCTTCATGCAATTTTATAATAAACTCCTGCTACTATCCAATAGTAATATGAAATAACCACCAACAAAAATAGCGAATAACTGGTAATTATCAAATTTTAATAAATTTGTATTTATAACTTTCTAGTTTACACGTAATATTGACAAATTCAAGTTCTAGTAATCTTTTCTCTTCTACCCAAACATTCGCCAAATTTTCTTTGTAAAGTATACCTTCGCTCATTTCATTTAGAGCGTGATCTGTTACATTCATATAGACATATTAGTATCACGAACAATTAGAAAATTTCAAGAAATTTTTGTATATTATATTCATAAGAAATTAAGCAAAAATCACGAGGATTGGACGTCAACTGATTTCTTTTCCTTGTACCAAATTTCAATTTCTATCAATTTTTCGTGGATTTATTGATACTTTTCGAGCAAAGAGAGGTATTTACAAATGTTTTTTAAGGGAATTGAGAAAAAAACAAATAAATTATATTTTTTAATGGTAAGCATTGGTCATGACCAAGAATAAAAAACATATATAGTTTTAATAGATCAACAAAATGAATTGCATAATTTTCTGAAACAATAAAGTAAAAACATGTAAGACTAATCCTTTAGCTGTACTTGCTAATCAAACAGCAGCCTGCAAGGCAAATACAAATCTCGTTACGAAAGAAGGAAATTGTTGAACGGAGAAAGGTGCTAGTACTGAAGAAAAAAACGATTGTCGATTTTTCAGAACTACCCCAAGAGCACCCCAAAAAATTCTGCGTAAATCATGTGATCATCACATATCACATGATTGAAAGATTAAAGAGTTACGTAATTTACAAATAAATTAAACTTTTATTACTAAAGTTTCGCTTTTCCACTTTCAATATGGATATTGTAACTACTATTAATTTACAAAAATGTAAAAAATGTCAAAAAAATTTACCTCTAGAAGCTTTCATTAATGAAAATACTCAGCAAATTAAAACTTGTAATATATGTCGTCATAAAGCTACTTTGCAATATAAACAATCTAATCAATCTAACACAGAGGTAGGACTTTTAACTCTAGAAGAAATGTCAAAACAACTATTTGAAAGAATTTTAGAAATCAACACTAATGAATATTTAGAAAATGATTTAACTAGTAGAATAGATTTTAATTGCAATGTTTCAAAAATTTATTCGACCACGTCTTGATTTGGTAATTTATATTCTTCTTATTCGTTTAATTCCACATCATCAACAACAATATAATAAATATTTATGTGGTTGGGAAAAACTTTCATGGTGAAAAGATTTAAAAGGGAATGGAATAATTTGCAAAAAAAGAAATTAATAATAAGTATGAAAGACAGATTACAAATTCACGCACTTGGAAAGATCATAATAAACAGAAGTGATTTATTTTGTAGATAGGCAGTGAATTAATAAATTTATGAAATATTTTCTTTTTTAAAAGTAATAGAGTAATAAAGTTTTTCTTTAAAAGTTTCATAATAAAATACTTTAATTTTTTTGAATATCAGAATTTTTTTTATATAAATTTTAATCTCAATCATGTGATATGTGATGATCACATGATTTACGCAGAATTTTTTGGGGTAGTTATTTTTCATTTGACCATAATCATAAATTTACACGTGATATTATGAAAGTTACATCATCTGATTCCTGAATATTTCTATAAAACCTGATTGTAGTAAAAAATTTCTATAATAGATTATGATAATAAGTTTCTCAACTTTGAATTTAATTAGTATCCTTAATAATGAATGCGAAAAGTTAATGGAAATACGAAAATTATATTAGCGGTATTTGCTACTACCTTTTATTGAAAAAATTATTTTTTTAAAAAAGAAATAAATAATAATATTTATATACACATATTTTTTGTTGGGTTACGAATGGTGAAACGTAACCAGAAACCAGATTCTTTTTTTACTAATTAGATTATAATAAATAAATTGATTAAACAGTTAGCTAGTGACAGGAGTTAATTAAGAAATAAAAAGTTTAATTCATCCAAATATTAAAAAAAATTTATTTATTTATAATTTTAAGTATATCTGTAATATAAAGAAATTTTTCTTCAAAGCTTGCTAAGACAATATTAGAGCATAAAGTTCCTTAGTTATAATCATTTTTATTTCATTACAACAAATACAAAATTCTGTCCTACAATAAAATTTAAATTCTATATTCACTAAATTATTGAGAATTTTACATCCTTTACATTGGATTTTTTTTTCTTTTTTGAATGAATCTCTCTTATTATTTAGTATATTTGTTCTTAAACTAATTTGACAAAATTCTTTCAACTCTAATCCATGTAAAGAACCAATATAATGAAAATTATATACTGTAGGTTATTGATATTACATTTGAAGCCGATATTGGCGAATATATAGATCATGTGGGCAATGATACCATAAAATTCAAAATATTCAGAATTTTTAGTCATTGATGTACAGATTTATAATTACTAGTCCGAAGGGCCTACGCTTGATGACGTCATTTCCAGATGTTCGTGTAATTCCAAATCATGCAAGACCCTTTTCTATTATTTAAAAAAAATCCTCTTACGTTAGTAGTTGTAGCATTAAGAATTTATGTATTTAACAAGTGTGTTTTTTTTTTGACTTTGTCTATTTTAGTTTTTTGACCAATCAGTAAGACTAATGTCGAAATATCATATTTTCTGTTTTTTAATATGGCTGCAACAAAATTTTCTCGGCGTAATTTCACCTTCATGTGACAATATAGGAAAAGTCGTCAGTGACCCATTTTTTGATGTGTTTATCCTGTTTATTTATCACTCAATGGTCAAAAATCACGTGACACCAATTTTTTAATGATACCGCAAGGTAGTTTCAAATGCTCCATTTTTTTTATATTCAGTATCACGCTTTTATTATTTTCAATATGTAATCATAAATACACTTACATAGTCTAAGCAAGTAAATGTTTAACAAATGGGAACTACTTACTAATAATTAATAGTCAAAAAAAATTTATTTATATAAATCACAAGTCAACATACATTATTTTTGTGTAATTATAATTTTTATTAAATAAACTTTGTTTATTAATTTTGTTAAGGAAAAAAAAATATAAATATAAAAAAAGTGACATCATCGCAGCAATCACGCCGATCCAAGACCTTCAAAACCTGAAGTTTGTTAAAAAAAATTCAAGAAAAAAATTATTAATGAATTAAAAAAAATATTCCGAATTGAAAAATATGTCTACCATAAATCCACAATGGTAAAAGCATTCATTGCATCCTAAAAAAATGAAAAGAAAATTGAAAAAATATTTAGTAAAAATTAAATAGAAAAAAATTCCCAAATGAAGAAGAAATTCTGAATGGTGCTTGCTGTATCACAGTAAACCAATCCAAGACTTCAGAACCTAAAAGAAAAATTTAAAAAAAAAATCAAAGGAAATAAGCATTAGTAAATTAAAAAAAAGAATGTAAATTGATGCTTACCAGGGTACGGCAGTGGTAAGTATATCATCTGATTTGTGAGTTCCCAGCCCTAAAAGATGAAAAGAAAAATAAAATAAATAAAAACAAACTTTTTGCTTCGATACTTTCCAATTAAAAGTCCAAGAAATGAATTATACCTACAAAGTAAATGAAAAAAAAAGATTAAAAGTTGTAATACAAATAAACTTTAAATAAATAAAAAGTCACTTAAATCTTACCTACCAAAAGTCCAAAGAAGTTAATTAAAGCTGCTAACTAAAAAAAACTTAGATAAATACAATTCTTCAAAAGAAGTTTTGAAACTTACATGCCCAAAGTCTAAGGAATTAAAATAAAGTCAAAGGAATCAATACCAATATCTATAGATAGAAAAAAAAGAAAAGAAGGATTTCTAAAAAAAATGATTTTGAAGCGTAACACTTTGAAATCATATGACTTGTTATATGTGGCAACCGATTATATTACTGTAAAATCAATATTTATTATGGTAATTAAAATGATTAAAATTTTGGTCAATGTTATAATGTTATATCAATTACTAAGTAGACCAATTTTTAAAAATATCAAAATTTTGTTTTTAATTTTTACAAGAGAATGATTATTAATTTTTCATCATCTAATTTATTGTTTTGTCATAATAAGATCACAAATTAAATTTATCGATCAAATTTTTTTATAACGTAATTCTATGATCTTATTTTTGATTTTTTTTAAAAAAAATAAAAAAATACCTTTTAATGTAATGGGTGGGCCTTGGTTTTAAATTTAGTATTAAGAAACGAACAGAACGAACGAAATTTTAATGTTAATGTTAACGTTAACAATAAAATTTGTTCTCATCAGATTTCCGCCAATCATCATTTAGTCATGCTTACATAATATATTTTTCCATTATCTCGAAATTGACTTTTCCTTTTTTAATGCATTGTACCACTCTAACGGCCATCTAATTTTAAGTGTTTTCAACAATTACCTTGTGAAGCTTTCTGATTGTAGGTTTGTAAAAAATTGGAAGCTAATTAAAGCGGAATAAAACTCAATTTGCTGTAAATTTGATTAATTTATTACTAATATGTAAATAAGTCCTCAATATACATTCATTATTGCAATCTCTCGATGGACAAAAACTTATCTAGAACCATGGTTAAATTTGATTTTTAATTTTAATGCTTTAAAAGTGAAAGTTTAGAACGTGAAAATATACAAAATAATAGGTCATCAGAATTTTATGAAAGTAGATATTCCAGCTGGAATAATCTTGAAATTACAGCACTTGAAAGAAGTGCTTTTATAATTGTTCCCAAAGCACGAATAACTTAAAGAATAGCCAATAACCTCTTTCCAATCTAACGTCTATTAAATAATGACATACATTTACCCAAATAGTTTATAAATTAAAAAAAAAAATTTTAATTTTATTTAACAATTGTAAAATAATAATTTTTTTGAGGATAAAGGTAGCAGTTATGTAGTGGTAGTGGTGGCGAACTCTTGATTTACATGGTTAATTGTAAGATAAACATATAGAATTCTAACTAAAATATATATTAATAAATACTCTAACAAGTAACAATATAATCAATTGTAACACAAAAAAATAACAAAAGGTGATTAGTATCAAATTTAGTTAAAGTAAAACAACCTAAATAGCTTTAAATACATGACTTTGTTTTATTCCAATTATATTAATAAATGAATATTTAAATTGAGAAATAAAGGTATTAAGATAATAAAAATGTGTTTTATTATTATTTTCATTATTAGCATAGAGAAATATATGGTCTTTATTGATAATGTACGGAAATCATTTGACATCACTTGAATAATTAATTTAAACTATATTTCAGATTGTAAAATTTTATAAATTTAAAAAGAAATTGTTTCGGGAGAGTCTTTATGAAAATTAAGGTTTACCACGCTGATCTGATTTCCACATTTGAAGGTTATACCAGGCAACCACTTTTCTGACACTGACACTCTTTGTCCGATAACTATTGCCTGACATGACGGACATTTTCTTGACAAACATCTATCAAAAATGATTTAAAAAGTGATTTACCAAAAAAAATAACGAAATTAATGAAAAAAAAATTATTTAGTTTATATTAACTCTATTTAATATCATCTTTTGTTAAAGTATCAAAAGACGTTATCTCCAAGGACAAGAAGATGTATGCATCTAATAATTAAATCAGCAACAGTAAGTATATAAACTATAAATAATGATGTGTAATTCTTGTGTTAATTAGATAAATTTTCGTAAAATGGACAATATAATATTTTGATGGCCAAACAAAATCAGCATGATAGTAGCATGACCCTGTGATAATATACAAAGCTAAACTTAATTTTATTTTTTGTGCTACATGATCAACATCGATCCAACCATTTTTAATTGTATAAAAAAATTTCTAAGAAGCTTACGTGATAAGTACGTAAGCTATTTGACAAATTTTGTACTACATAAATTTTTTTTTTTAAAAAAAAATTTTATTCAAGAAAATTTTGGGCTTTTGATACAATGTTTTCTCCAAACATACATGTAACAAAAGATAATATTCAGAAATGTTTAGAAACTGACTTTATAAATTGGTCCAGCGGAAATGATAAAATTGATAATTTCATTCAGGAAATGCAACTAAAAATAAATCACCATGAAGACATTATAATCGAATGGATACCATACAATCAGTTTAATAAAATTAAAGAAACATGCAAAAATAGTTCTATAACAGTATATTCAGCAATATGGATGGATGGTCCATTATATTATAATTATAACTATACTAATAGTTATACAAGAAATCCAAATGAAGAAGTTGCTTTAAAATATTTTTGTACCTTACAATATTCTATTGATTTTCTAATAAATGAGGTATAATATTTCTTATTAATAATTAAATTTTTAATTTGATATATTTACCATGTCATTTGTCTATATTTCAGGCTAAAAAATATTCAACAAAAAATAAGGCATTTCATATATTGTACGGAATATCCCAGGATCCAGTTACAGATAACTATATTTTAATTCAAAATAATTCCATTAACGTAACAAATTGTATCAGTAAAAATGAAAAAATTGATAATTTCATTCAAGAAATGCAATTATCAGGTATTAAATTCGAATGGATACCATACAATCAGTTTAACGAAATCAAAGAGACAGGCATAAATGGTTCCATTACAGTAAATTCAGCAATATGGATGGATGGTCCATTATATTATGATTATTTGAAGGAAGAATATACAAGAAATTCAAATAAAAAAGTTGCTTTAAAATGTTTATGTAACTCACAATATTCCATTGATTTTCTAATAAATGAGGTAGATTTCTTTAATAATCTAAATATTTTTTAATTTACATATTTATTATTTCATTTTTCTTTATTTCAGGCTAAAAAATATTTAACAAACAAAGGTGAATTTCATAAGTTGTTTGGAATATCTCAGGATTCAATTACAAATAACTATATTTTAGTTCAAAACAATTCCATAAACATAACAAATTGGATCAGTGGAAATGAAAAAATTGATGATTTCATTCAAGAAATGCAATTAAAAATTGATACTGATGGTATTAGTATAATCGAATGGATACCATATAATAAGTTTAATGAAATTAAAGAAACATGCAAAAATGGTTCTATAACAGTATATTCAGCAATATGGAAGGATGGTCCATTATATTATAGTAGAGATTATTGTAATTATATAAGAGCTCCAAATAAAAAAATTGCTTTAAAATATCTACATAACTCAAAAAATACTATTGATTTTGTAATAAATAAGGTATAAAATTTATGTGATTTCTTCAATACTTTTTATTATAATATATTAATTTTCATTTATTTTAGGTTGAAAAATACCTAGCAAATATTTGTAATAAAGCTATTTTCACTATATATGGAATATCCCAAAATCCAGATACAAATGATTATATTTTGNTTATATATGGAATATCCCAAAATCCAGATACAAATGATTATATTTTGGTTCTAAACAATTATATCTGGGAAAGTGGAAATGAAAAAATTGATGATCTTATTTATGAAATGCAATCATTAAGAATAGATATAAATGAAAATACAGTATTTGAATGGATACCATACAATCAACTTAATGAAATTGAAGTAATAGATAAAAGTAGTTCTATTTCAATATATTCAGCAATATGGAAGGATGGTCCATTATATTATAATAAAGATTGTAGAAATTATACAAGAGATTCAAATTTAGAAGTTGCTTTAAGATGTTTGCATGGTTCACAAAATACTATTGAAATTGTAAGAAATGAGGTATATAATTTATACAGATATTTTTAGTAATTTTTTTATGCATTATATTAATTTCTCATATATTATATAGGCTGAAAAATATTTAATAAATAAATTTAGTAAAGAAATATTTGATATATATGGAATATCTCAAAATCTAAATACAAATGATTATATTTTAGTTTTAAATAATTTTATGTCAGTGAGCGAAAATAAAAAAATTGATAATTTCATTCAAGAAATAAATTATAATACAAATATGATATTTGAATGGATACCTTATAATCGACTTAATGAAATTAAAAAAGTAAGTGAAAATGATTTGATAACAGTATATTCGGCAATATGGAAGGATGGTCCAATATATTATAATAATTTGAAAGATAAATATACAAGGTATTCAAATGAAAAAGTTGCTTTAAAATATTTGCATAGTTCAGAGAACTCCATTGATTTCCTAAAAAATGAGGTATAATTTTTTACAATTATTTATTATTTTTTAATAAAATACTAAATTAATTTCTTTATTTATGATATATTACTAGGCTGAAAAATATTTAGCAACAAAATTTGAAAGAGTAATTTGTGACATATACGGAATATCTCAAAATTTGAATACTAATGATTATATTTTAGTTATTGCATGGGCAAGTGGAAATGAAAATATTGATGATTTCATTAAAGAAATGCAATTAAAAATGAGTACATATAAAGATTCAGTATTTGAATGGGTACCATACGATCAACTTAATGAAATTAATGAAATTGGCAAAAATACTTCTATTTCAATATATTCAGCAATATGGAAGGATGGTCCATTATATTATGATGACCAAAATAGCATTGATTATACAAGGGATCCAAACAAAGAAGTATCTTTAAAATATTTACAAAACACACAGAATTCCGTTGAATCCCTAATAAAAGAGGTATAACGTTTTTCTTAAATATTTTTAAATGCTTTTTAATTTAATAAATTAACTATGATGATCTTTTTTATTTATATTTCAGGCTAAAAAATATTTAACAAAAAATGGAGCATTTATGTTATTGTATGGAATATCTCAAAATCCAAATACAAATGATTATATTTTAATCAAGAATAATTACTTAAATTTAGCAAATTGGATCAGTGGAAATGAAAAAATTGATGATTTTATTCAAGAAATGCAATTAAAGATAGATAGCTATGAAGATATAGTATTTGAATGGATACCATACAATCAGTTTAATAATATTAACGAAATAGGTAAAGGTGGTTTTGCTATAGTATATTCTGCAAATTGGAAAGATGGTCCATTAGAATATGTTGCTGATGAAAAAACATATAAAAGGAATGATCCAAATAAAGTAATTGCCTTAAAATGTTTACATAATTCACAAAATATTAACAACAAATTTTTAAATGAGGTATGAAATTTTTTGAAAAATTATTTGCAATGAATTTTTTTTTGAATTTAATTTAGTAAGTAATATATTATCTTTTATTTTAATCAATTTATTTTAATAGGCTAAAGAATATTCAATAACTAAGGGAAGTAATATCACTAATATATATGGAATATCTCAAAATCCAGATACAAAAGATTATATTTTGATTCTTGATTATGCAAAGGATGGAAATTTTAATAATTGGATGAATGAAAATTATGAATATTTCATCTGGCAAAATAAAGTGTCTGTATTACGTAAGATTATTAATGGTCTTACTGAAATCCATCAAAAACAAATAGTTCATCGTGATTTTCATTCTGGAAATATATTATTTTTAAGTAGTATAGATGATTTTAGAAATTATATATTAATTTCAGATATGGGATTATGTGGAGAAGTTGGTAATGTAGAAGAAAAAAATATTTATGGAGTTATGCCTTATGTAGCTCCTGAAGTATTAAGAGGAAAAGCCTTTACTCAAGCAGCAGATATCTATAGTTTTGGTATGATAATGTATTTTATTGCAACTGGAAGACAACCTTTTTACAATCGTGCACATGATAAATTTCTTGCATTAGATATTTGTAATGGAAATAGACCTGAATTAAATGAGCCAGAAGCACCAAAATGTTATATTGATTTGATGAAAAGGTGCTTAGATTCAAATCCTAACAATAGACCAAGTATTATTGAAATAAATGAATCAATTTTATCATTTCATAAGTCTTATGGAGGGGATATTTTCATAGTAGAAAATGAAGAAATTGAAATACAATTTAAGGAAGCAGAGGAATACAGAAAAGCAAATGCAAATCCATCATCCATTAAAGATTATCAAGCAGCTACTCATCTACAGGCTATTTATATATCTCGATTACTTAACCCTTTTACAAAGGATCTTCCAATGTATAATGATGATGAATATATCTCTGAATGCTTAGATTGCAAAATTTAGATAAATTTAAATTGGTACATTACAAATAATTAAGAAAGTTATAAAATTACATTTACAATAATTTACAATATATGTTTTAAATTATTTAACACTCAATACTGATTATATAGATTATTTAGTATTGTAAATTATAATAAATGTAAAAACTTATTTATCAATATATACAGATCACGATACAAAGTTGTTAGCAATCAGATGATCTAAATTTCATAGTGTTGTTTATTGTGATTGGCCGTTGTAATAATAAGTTGTATTCCAAAAAAGGAAGGAAGTAGGTCCTAATTTGGTTAGCAAATATGGCAAAACAGGGTCCGTTTTTATATAAAATATATATAAACATAATTGAAATTTCGATTCATTGCAATGAATTTCAATTTCAATTTCAATTTCAATATATCAATTGATTGTTTTTTGGACAGCAGTTGTTTAAATAAATTTCGTGAATTGAAGTTGATCATCATTAACGTCACAGTAAGTAAAAATAATCTAAAATTGGATTCACATGTTATAAAAATTGAAACTTGTATATAGTAACTATAAATAAATTAGTTATAATGAAGGTACTTTTTTTTATTAATAAAATTGTATTTTTTTATTTGTTTGTTAATTAAATTAAAAATTGTGATTTTTCCCATAAATTACACATTTTTTTAATTAA